ACGAAAAACAGTAAAAGAGAAATTCAACAAGTTGATAAATAACTTTTGTACTTTAAGAGAATAACTCTCCTGGATCAGCTTGTAGCTTGCTGACCCTCTTCAAAGCACCACCACAATCTCTGATGACATTGGATGGAACGCTGACCTTTGATCCTCAGTGGACATTGAGCCTTAATCTGCCTCCTCATTGTAGTTCTGCAGAGGTCTGATCAGTATCTGGAATTCCCCTGAACACAGAGAGACAATGGGCCACACACTGCTTCTGATTCAGTAAGGCATCGTTAATCCAGGTTAATGAGAGATTAAAGAAGTTATTTAGGTTTTGTTATTATATTTAAACTGATGCAAGTTGGATAACGTTAATAATGTTTACTGCAAAACTAATCTGTGCAGAGAACGTGACCCTTCACCCCACCACCTACACACAGTGTTTGAAATAAAATCATTATTAGTAATATTCACTGACATTGACATTTCTGGAAGGACATCAGACTGGGGGCCATGAGGTCAAAACCAAAAATCTGAAACAGAAGAGAGAAAAACACCTGAAATGATATTTATTATGGTCACCAAGAAAGCAGAGCTTCTTCCTGTTCCTTATTGATAGAAAAAGCATGACACATTCCTGTATTGTCAACAGTTCTGGATCCAAAAAGAAAGAAAACTCTTGGCTGTGAAATTGTTTAGCTCTTGCTTTGTTAAATGCTAAAGAACTTGCAGTCTTATAGGATAATCACTTTTACATTTTTTTAATATGGAGAGTATTATTGGTAATTCAAAGAAAACATCTTTGTTTTACTGACTAATCATAAAAGTTATTCCTGGAAACATTATTTAGACAAAATATCACCATTATAATTTGTACTTTGTATAAAAAAACAATAAAATCTGTGTTTGCCTAAAATTTATAATAAAGAAAAACTTCTCAGGTACATTTAGTACCACTCAATAGTACCACTCTTCTCTTGTTTACACCAAACTTTACCATGACTAATCATTTCCATTGTTTTGAGACCAAGATCTATATTCCTAGAGATCATCTTCCGGACACAAGATATGAAAAAAAGACAAAATATTAGTGGTAAAAGCATGGAGATTATAGAACCATGTGTAAGCATGTTTGTGTGTGGAAGTGTGTGTGTGGGATTGTTTCTGGTGACATTTGGGGGTTATTTTAAGACGAAAATCCTACATTTGGGGACAACTGATGACATTTTGGGGACAAAAGTCAAGTCTCCATTTGGTTTAAATGCCATTGGTGGGTTGGGGGTTGGGTTTAGGACCAAGGTGTGAAATAAGTTTCGGTTAGTTTTAGGGTCAGGTAGGTACCTGTGAGGTTAGCCTTAGGGTTTGTGGTCAGGGTTAGGCTGTAGAAATGTAATGGAAGTCAATAGAATGTCCCGAAATGGATAGCTGTGAAAACATGTGTGTGTGTGTGTGTGTGTGTGTGTGTGTGTGTGTGTGTGTGTGTGTGTGTGTGTGTGTGTGTGTGTGTGTGGGTGTGGGAGATTTGTGTGTGTGGGGTTAATAGAGAGTTTGTATGTGGCTTTTGAACTTTTTAGCTGTATTTAAATGCTTTTATAATTCACGGGTCCAAAATGACCCACAAGACAATCTTTGGACCCTAATGGTGTACAGCCCACATGGAAACACAAACAAAAACAATGTATCACTTTTTCTAAAGATGGGGTCCTTTTAGGAAAAGTCAAAAAATTTCAAGTTGGAAAAAGAAAGTTGAATGTATTTTTTTACAGTTAAACGTGGTAGTGGGTCACTTACGACCTGCAAGACAGCACAAGTGTTAACAATGACTAACTACAGTACTACATTTTGAAACTAATGACTTTTGATAGTCGACTAATCTGTTGGTTATTTTTTTCATTCGATTGGTCAACAATTATTTCTGTCACAATGTCCATCAATGCTTTTGGGCACTTCCTGTTCCTGTTCCAGCTCCGGTGCACATCTCATCTCACCTGCTCATACCTGTGAACGTCACCCTGTTAGCCAGTCTTTTGTTTCCATAGCAAATTAAAATAGTAACCCATAAAACATATGGATTTTACCCTTAAGCCTAACAGTCCAAGCAGGTCTAAGATGTATTTTAACATTAATACATCTAAACACAATACATATTAAAATACGTAATACATATTAAAGTGCAAGTAAAATTTTAAACAAATAGCTAATATGCAAATAACTCAAAATAGTAGCATATCTTCCAGCATGATGGGCTTTTCACCCCCTCTGCAGAGTGTAGACATAATTTTGCAAGTCCAAATTAAACTAAAGTATAACTTTGGTTAAGGTGACATTCAAGTGCATAAAAGTAAAAAAAAAAAAAAAAAACTTAGTCTTAAAAGTCTACTAGATCTGGCAGTTTAAATGTTCAATCAAGGCTTCAATGCATCAAAAAATGGGAGAAGACAATTAGGATAGATTATTACAAGTATTATAATTTAACATGATGGCACATAACACTTTAGCTACTGTTAGCATAATTGATAGTACCTACTTCCAAGAAATAATGTTTTCTGATTGTAAAATAACAAAAATTACAAACAGTTGGGTGACAGCACAAAGTGATCAGTCACTGAAAATAAGTCCATGGTGCATCAACCTGATGAACAAGCCGACCGTCTGAAACTTACCCACCTTGAGAGGACGGCTCCAGTATTTCAGGTGATCATGTTTTTACTGCTGCTGTGCTGCCATGGAATGACAGAGTCTGCATTTTACTTTCTTTGGTTGATTTTCAATAAAATGTAACCAACTTTGTAAAGTTTAAGTCTTGTTTTCTTGCCTCTTTGATGTGATCATCTTTCTAGTCCGCCAATATTGTCTTCTTCTGTGGTTTGCAGGCTGGCACATCCTTCTTTAGCAAACAATGCAACCACAGACATTAGAAGTGATTCTGCCCCCAAGAGTTCATGTATTGCATTGCAGTTTCAAGTGAACAATGTAGTTGCATAATATCAAGATTAAGATGGCGTGTCAACTAGTTTTTATAATCGATGTAGTCAATTATATTGACTAAGGGATAATCATTGCAGCCCGAATAACTATTGACCCATGTGATTTTGTTTTATTCAGGCCACAATGTCTGGTCCTGACTGGACCCCCAAACTTACAACCTGCTCTGGTGGACTTTGTTGGCTCCTTCACTAAACACATCAGCCTCATGATCTGTGGGGACATCATAATGGTACAAGCTCCAGTTGTGGGTTTTTAAAAAGTAAACAAGCATCATTTGTCCAGTTCTTACCTTTGTGACAGAAGATATTCTTTTCTTGAACTCTTGGTGGAGCAGGACCAGATGACACGGCCTCGTGATGCCACAGACACCTTGGTTAAGACCAAGAGGAAGGTTTGGTTGTTTTATACGCCTCTTTCTGCTGAAAGTCCCAGAGCAGGAGCTGAACAATTTTTGCAGGTACTTTTTCTTATGACATTTTTAGCTGTGAAAATGTGTTTGTTGTTTTGCCTCTCCACCTGTTTTTGTTAGCAAGATGTCATAAAAGCTATGATGTTTGCTGCAAATCCAGTGACGTCTTCTTTATGTACCAGTTTTTTTCATATTAAAAACTTAAACCATGCAATCATCAGTTTCAACTGATAGTTATTGTTCTTTTTTTTCAGTGACACATTTGACTCCAACTAGGCCTACTGTTTGTGCATCTTGAGGATGCTGGATGGACTGGAAAGCTCTGATGGCTTACAACATGAAGGTCTGATGCAATAAAATGTATTCAGCATTTCGTGCTTAATCACAAATTAAACAAAACACAAACTAATAATACACCATTAATTTCCCAGTAAACCAGGGTTTTGTTCCAGATGAAACAATGGAAAACCAAGAACAGCAAAGTAATAATGAGGACGTAGGTAAGAACCAGCATCAACAACCTCATGTACAGTTACTGCAATAACTTTGTTTTAAAAAATACGAACAGCTTGTGTTTTTTTTCTACACATTAAATGAGCTTTTCCGAGATATAAACAATCACTATACTATATCATTACAATATAAAAAAAATGTTTTTTGATTATGGTTGTCGAACTTTTGAGACTTTAGACTGATAAAAACCAGCTTCTTTTATTTTGCTTTGCTTCGTACAGATGGTCTGAAAGCTCGGCTATTGAGAAAGGATTTTTTGCTGGAGGCGTGGCCTCTGTTGAAGTTTAATAGGATTGGACCTGATTTTTCCCAATCGCTAACGTTCGACTGTGATGCATGTAGTGCGCCAGCTCAACAGTAAAGGAAGCTGAGCTAAGAAGCTAACCAGTGTAGGAATTACTTAATGAAATCAGGACCAGCCTATTTTCATAAATGTAATCCAG